GATGCACCAGTGGAGCGTTCTAGGAGTTCCACTGTCCAAGCAAAACAGTGGCTCAAGGAGGGAATTAAGGAGATGGGTCACCCAAAAAAATTGGTTCCCTTCCAAGGGTGAAGAGCTGCAAAAAAACCTAACGTGAGGAAAAAACACACACGCTGAGGGGAAAGAGCAGCTGAAAAGCGTTCAGTCTTTCCCCACAACCACTAAGCCTAAAAACCACCAAAAAAAAACCCCCGCAAAGACATGCGGGGGAAGAGATACAAACCTGTGAAAGTTAATTTCATCGTGTAACGGGGGGAAGAAATAAAATACGTTTAGAAGAAGGCAAAAAGGCGGCAGCCGTGAGCGGGTCGGAGACAATAATTCGGAGTTTGCCGAGCAGACATCCGGGTGTCTCACCGAGGGTAACGGTCCCCTCACCCCGCGGGCTGCCAGGGCCGGGGGCTCGGAGGCTCCGAGAGCTGCAGGGGCTGGGAAGGGACTGGGGGGGGGGGCCTGGGGGGGCTTCCATGGGGTTTAGGGGGTCTTGGGGGAATGATGGCCATGGGGCTCACGGGGGGTGCAGGCTCTGGGGAGGCTTCGGGGGCTCTGAGAACCAGGGGGGAGGCTATGAGGGGACTGTGGGGGGCTCTGATGGCCATGGGACTGCGTGGGGGGTTCTGGGGGGCAATGATGGCCGTGGGGCTGGAAGAGCTGGAGGGGAGGCTGTGAGGGGGCTGCGGGGCTGTGATGGCCATGAGCGATGTGAGAGGGCTCTGAGAGGCCGGGGGGTTGTGATGGCCGGGGGGCTGTGGGAGCTCCGTGCAGCTCCGAGAGCCGGGGGGGTGAGGCAAGGGACGGGCTGAGGCTCTGAGGAGGGCTCTGAGCGGGCTCCGATGGCCGTGATGGGGGAGCGCGCTGTGCGGCACCGGCGGACGCGACCCCCGCGGGGGGCACGGGCGCGGCCGGTCCGCACCGAGCGCGGCAGAGCCGAGCGCGGCGGGCACCTCCCCCCTCGGACGGTACCTGGATGGATGGATGGATGGACAGACGGCCGGACAGGCGGATGGCGGTCGGTCGGAGGGCGGGCGCCCGCCCGGTCGGTGCCGGTGCCGCCTTTCTCCGGCGGCTCAGCCCGGCCCGCGAACGGCGGGAGGCGCCGCCTCCGCCCCTGTGTGGGGAACGGGGGATGGGGGCGCTGCGCCTGCGCGGGGCCGCCTCAGGCGGCGGCGGGCGGGGGGCGGCCCCGGTGAGGGGCACGGGAGTGAGGGGACAAGGGCCGGGGCAAGGGGGGAAAGGAAGTGAGGGGGAATGGCGGTGAGAAGGGGAAAAAGGGGATGGATGAGGGGGAAAGCGGGGAGTGATGATGGGAAGGAGGTGAGTGGAGTGAGAGGGATGTGGACGTGAGTGAGGTGGAAAAGGGATGGATGAGGGAAATGGGGATTGAGGGGAAAAGGGGGGAGTGGCGGGAAAAGGGTTAAAAGGGAGTGAGAGGGAAGGGGTTAAGTGATGGCAGAAAGGGGTAAGTGAGGGAAAGGGGCGAGTGAGGGGGAAAGGGGAGTGAGGGTGAAAGGGAAACGGAGCAGGTGAGGGAGGAAAGGGAATTAGAGCAGGTGAGGGAAGAAAGGGGATGTCTGATGGGGGAAAGGGGTGAGAGGAGAAAAAGGGTCAGATGAATAAGGGGAAAATGAAGGAGTGGTGGTGGGAAGGAGGTGAGTGAGTGAGTGAGTGAGTGAGAGTGAGTGAGTGAGTGAGTGAGTGAGTGAGTGAGTGAGTGAGTGAGTGAGTGAGGAAGAAGAGTGGGGATCAATGAGGGGAAAAAAGGTTTAAAAGGGGGAAAAGGTGAATGGGGAAAAGGCAGTGAGAGGGAATGGGGTAAGTGATGGCAGAAAGGGGGTAAGTGAGGGGCTATGAGAGTGAGGGGGAGGAAAGGAAAGGAGGGAAAAAGGTGAGGAAGTGAGGGAAGAGGGGAAGGGAGAGAGGAAGAGGAGCGAATGAGGGGAAAAGGGCTGAATAGGGAAGGGATGAATGAAGGGGGAAAGGGTCTCTCCCTGTGCATGTGATCCAGAAAAATGCACAAAATACAGCTTAGCTGGGATCTCCCAAAGCTTTGGTGCGTGTAATGTCTCTTCAGGACAGTTTTATCAAACAACAATAAAATAGCTCCATTCTTTGACATCCTCCTCCCAGATGTGCCTGTTGGACCCACACACAGCCTCTGGCACCTCCTGATAAGAAGTGTTGGATGTTTGGCAGTCACCAAGGCCACGTGCTACGAGCAGAATCCAGAATCTCGTTTTTGTACCACTTGGCCTGAACACCACATCCAGCACTGGCACTGCTCAAGGTCTGTCCTGGTGTCAGCTGGGCTAGTGTTAATTCTGTCACTCTGTTGTTAATTTTCAGATGCTCTGGAGAGGTTTGGTCTGTGCAGAAGATGGGATTTCCAAAAGCAGAGGTTCCTGTGCCACCATGGGAGCTGTAGTGCCAGGATGGTTTTGCCTCCACCTCTGCTCAGTCTCCACCAGCACATTTCATACCCTTTATTTATTTCATTTCATTGAAATAATCTGGTCAAGATTTGTCCCCACAAGCAGCAGAATCCCAAGAGAAGTAAGATCTTTTTGTTAAAGAAAATGCATGTTAAAGAAAATGCACCTCATCCATCATGTAGGAAAAATCTGTGTGCAGGTGACCCTTCTCCACAAATACCAGGAAGATTCACCTCTTTGAATAATTCATTTGTTTTTTATTCATGGGGTCAGCAATTCTTCAAAGCTCAGACCAATACAAATTATAAAGCATAACATTTTTATAATAGCTGCAGTTTCCCTTTAGGTGATACATGTCTTTAAGGGGGGAAAACCCCTCCTGTCAAGGAGCTGTGCAGAGCCAGAAGGTCCCTTCTTAGCCTCCTTTTCTTCAGGCTGAGCCCCTTTCCCAACTCCCTCAGCTACTCTCAAACAAACAAAAATTCACATGGGGGATCAGGGTTCCTTTTTCCCCAGGTAATCATAGGATTTTAGGAGGAGCTTGGTTTTCAGCAATTCTTGGCTGTGAGGATGGGGAAGCCCTGGTTGCCCAGAGCAGCTGTGGCTGCCCCTGGATCCCTGCAAGTGTCCAAGGCCAGGCTGGACGGAGCTTGGAGCAACCTGGGATAGTGGAAGGTGTCCCTGGGCATGAACTTTAAAATAGATGAACTTAAACTCCTTCCAGCCCAAAGCATTCTGGGGCTCTATAGTTCCATGATTCCTAATGCTTCCCATGAGGAAACAGTAAGTCTGGACACTTTTAGGACACCTGACTTTTGAAAGGTTTCAGTATTCAGCATTCCCAACCTCTCAGCTCTGAGTTAAGGGCTAAAATGACACAATTCTGATTTTACTGAGTGCAGCATCTGCTGGAAGTTCAATGTGGTTAGTGAGCATTAGGGCTGTGAGTAACCTACAACAATGAGAGGTCTGGGCAAAGCCCTGGTGAGGGGGAAAGTGGGCTTTCAGCTGAGCAGAGCTCTTTGTCAGGAGAGGGAATTGAGATGGCCCTGCTCTGGCACAGGACACCTGCCCTCAGAGCCCGAGTCAGACCCCAGGGAAGGACACTGTTATCTCCCCAAGCAGGCAGCAGCCACAAGTGCTGCTGCAGCATCCTCAGGGAAGAAGCAGGAAGGGGAATTAAAGCTGACACACGATTAGAATAGTTTGCAAGTGCTCCTGGAATCCTGGAGAAAGCAAATGGAAATCAGGCAGAAGCTATTTCTAGGCTGAATTTGGGGGTGAAAGATGCAGAAATAGGTTTTTGCTAAGGACTAAATTCAAACCCTCCCAAGAATCCACATTTAGTGTTTAAGGCTCCCAGTGTCTGTGTGCCAGCTCACACAGCCTGGCTGCACAGGATAAAGAAATACAAATATCATCAGGAGAGATCGTGGCAATTAGCTTGGATAAACCTGAGGAGCTGTGCCTGACTCCCAGCTCCGGGAGCACCCGGAATCTTCATGCAGCTAAAGCCAGGCTGAGCGGGGCTCAGCACCTCTGGAAAACGTTATCTTTGAGGAGGAGGCTGCCTTATCTCGTTCCCATCACTCTTGTCTGGTGCAGGTGCTGAACTCATCCACGGCCACGGGGCAGCGAGAAGGAAAAGAACTCGAGAGAAGCGGGAGTTGTGCAATCTCAGCCAGTCAGGAGCTGCGGCATTCCCGGGTGTGCCGCCGGGCACGGGCTGCATTCCCAGCTCCGCAGGGCCCTGCAAGCACACAAAGAGCGCCTGAGCACGGGCTGATCCCGCCGGGAATGCGGCCCTGGAGGTCGGTGGAGCACCGCACCAGTCACATCCCATTACCAGGTACGGGGAGCAGCGAGGCAGGAGCCCCGCTCCCTGCTCCTCCTCCTCCTCCTCCTGCTCTGTGCCGGGAGGCATCGGGAGCACACGAGGTCTCCCAGCCCCAGCACAGCAGCTCTGGTTGCTGCCATGGCACCTCCTGCTCCTTCCAGATAATCTGACAAAACCAAACCGTGTCCAACCCGCTCCTGTCGATCTGTAGGACTGTACAACTCTACGCGAAGGTTTTCACCTCCAAGGATCTTTACTAAAGGGGTGGCTGCACCTGCCGCCGAGGAGCTCTGTCCCTGTCACGGGAGTGTCACAGCTCCGAGCCGCCCGCGGTCCCTGCGCGGGGTCAGCCCAGGACACAGCGAGGGACCTTTAGCTGCCTTCCGTGGGGACTCTCCACCTCTGAGGGGCATTTCTGTCATCACTCAAGCCAGCCTCTCCCTGTCACCCCCGGGAAGCCACCACAGCCTGTTTGTCACCGAGATTCTGGCTCCAACCAACACCCCCGGGACAGCGCGAGTGAGTTCCCAGCTAATGCTGCAGCAAGGTCACTGCTTCCCACTGAACAGCCCAGGAGGATCCCTGCCTGGCCACCCTGGGAATGTGAGGGTTAAATGCCCTTCACCAGTGAACCCTGAGCCCTCACCCAGCCATCCCCCTGGGAATGGCTCTGGAAAGGGGCCCTGGAAACCCACCTAGAACAGCTTCTCGTAGCACTTGTCACAGTGGACAATGTCCCGGTGGATGAATATTTTATCCAGGAGATCTCCCATTGCTTTGTGGCAAATTCCACACTGCCAAAGGGAAAACAAGGAGGTTGGACAATGGGCAAAAGCCCATGCAGGAACAGCAGAAGGGAGGGGGCAGAGGGCTCTCCATCATTCTATTAAAAGGTGAGGATGCAACCTTTGAGGCTGCACTTTCCTACAACAGCCAAATGTCCCTGCAGGCCTCTTCCTCCCACACTCCCCATCCCTCCTCCTCTCACCCTCCCCACATCCCCACACGCTTTCCTTGGAAATCCTGCAGGGTTTGAGGATTCAGCCACCTCCACTAGAACACAAAGAAGCAAGTCTGCCCCAAGGACAGTGGGGCAAGGACATGAGGGTGTTCTGAGGATGCTGCCAATAATAAAGAATTCCCCTTGTTCTAACATTTATTCAAGGACCTGAAAACCTCCCGGGGACACCTGTGGCTGCCTGACTGTTTTTGTCCCAGTGTGAGGTAAGGATTTGCCACACCCCATGTATATCCTTCTGAAAGCCTGGGGATGGAAGTTGCAGGAAGATCCCTGCTCCCAGCCCTGCCATTCCCAGCAGGCAGGCTCTGGGGCTTACCCTGAAGCAGTACTCGTGGCAGTGGATGTTCAGGTGCTCTATGATGATCTTGGGGCAGTCTCGGATCTCCCGGCTGCAGTAGCTGCACAGGGGCTCACTGGACCTGGCAAGAACAGGGCACTGGATGCCTCTGTGATGCTCTGGTTCCAGTGCCAGCACTGGTGCCAGGGGTTTATCCCAGCCATCAGCACTGCTGTCCATGAGCAGCCTGCTCCCACAGGTGTGACAGAACAGGGGACTGCTGTCCCAGGGGTGCCACACAGCAGTGGGGCAGATTTCAGAATCCTACAGTTGTGGAATCATGGAATGGTTTGGGTTGGAAGGAACCTTAAAGCTCATCCAGTTCCATCCCCTGCCATGGCTGGGACACCTTCCACTATCCCAGGGGGCTCCAAGCCCTGTCCAACCTGGCCTTGGACACTTCCAGGGATCCAGGGGCAGCCACAGCTTCTCTGGACACCCTGTGCCAGGGCCTCCCCACCCTCCCAAAGGAGAATTTCTTCCCAATATCCCATCTAACCCTTCCTTCAGTCTGTGAGAAGGCATTCCCTTTTGCCCTGTCACTCCAGGCCCTTGGAAATTTATCCCTTTCCATTTTTCTTGTGGGCTCCCTTCAGGCACTGGAAGGCCACAATTAGGTTACCACAAAGCTTCTCAGCTCCAGGCTGCAGAACCCCAGTTCTCTCAGCCTTTCCTCACAGGAGAGGTGCTCCATCCCTCTGGTCACCTTGGTGGCCTTGGAGTCCATGTCACTGTATTTCCATTTACTGTGCTGCTGTTCCACAAACACACCCCAGTGTCCTCAAAAAGCAAACCTTGCAATCATTTCTGATTGAGAATTTGGTGAAGCTGCCCAGGGCAGCCCCACCCTGTCCTACCTGTGCAGGGGAGCACTGGACAGGTAACTGTGGTGGCTGTAGCTGCTTCTCTCCAGGTCACTCAAATCCACAAGGCTGCCACTGGGGAAGGAAGGAGGGAAATATCAGCACTTGGCAGTGATATGTGGGAAGAGAATTTCAGATAGAATCATAATCCAATGACTTGGAATATCCTGGCTACCTGTTCCTTGGGGAGAAGGTCCTCCAAGTGCCTTCCCAGAGAACTCCAGGCAAAACTCCCCTAGCCTCACAAGGGCCCTCATGTTTGCATCTGGCCCTTACAAATAGCAGCTTTTCAGTGCCAAAACTCCAAATCTTGCACTATTGTGCAGGAAAAGGCACGGAGCACATCCCTGGTTTCACCCCTCATCCAGCTGAGTGTTCCCTTCCCTCTCTGCCTGAGTTTCCTGGATCTTTGGCTTATCTGTGGCTGCTGCCAGCAGCTTTGCTGAGTTCTGGACAGGCTGGAGGTGTGGGGAGTGTAATCAGCTCTGCCAGGGATGCCAGCAGAGCACTGAGGGAGGATAATGCCTGCAGGGAGCCTCAAACTGGTGTGAACTGGTGCCACATCACTGTGAGGATGCTGTGCATGGGGCCAAATCCTGCTCTTGTCACTTGGGGCCAGTCTGGAGCAGCTTCACTTGAGCAGAGCTCAAAGGACTGAAGACTTAAGCTTGAAAATGGTACAATTTAACCTTTTTAAACTCATATAATGGGAGTTCTACCTCTGAGCTCCCTCAGCCTCCACATTCTCCTCGTGCATTCCAGTCATTGTTTACAGGTGCACGGTGAAGCCTCCCAGTGCCAAACCTGCAGTGTGGTGTTTTCACCCATCTCAGAGACCAAGCCACTCCAGGAGGAGCTGGCCTGTCCCCTGGGAGCAGTGGGACACGGGTCCTGCTGTCACCAGCACAGCGGGAGGAGAGGGCAGGACCCCAGAGAGCAGAACCTCCCCTCCCAGTAACCCCCCGGGCTGACCAGCTCCAGCTGCTCCCTCCGGTGGGCTGTGCGAGGCGGCAAAGCCCACCGTGTGACACCTGGGTGACACCTGGGTGTGACACCTGGGTGTGACACCGGCTGTCCCCAGCGCTCCCTACCTGCTGTGGCGTGGCGAGGCTGCAAAGCCGCCGGTGTTCACGTACTCCTTGACAAAGAGGATCCCTCTCCTGGGAAAACGGGAAGCATTTGCATGAGAAAAGAGCGGCTGGGGCTCGGGTGTGTGCCCCGGACACGGAACGCGTGCGGGAGAGGCTCGGAGCGAGGGGATGCTGTTGTTCTGGAATAAATCCTGCATATCGAGCATTGTTGCTAAATACCAACTCCTCTAATTACCCCACCAAAACAAATCGAGTTAATTGGAAAGAATGGGATGGATAATGTAACCCTTTCATCCAGTTACGGGTTTGAGGGATAAGTCTTTCGCAGCTCCCGTCAGGATTAGGCACACAATGGGCACGGGGAGAGCTCCCAGCTCCCGGTTACCGCCGAGCTCTGTGGCACAGCGCTGCTTCCAGGGGCTGCTCTGCCTCTGGAATGTCTCCAGTGTTTCCAGCCAGAGTGTAAACTGCTGCTGCTTGGTTGGGGATATTTTTACCTCCCTTGCATGTTCTTGCTTTTTTCCAATCCCAGCTCCAGAATTCCATGTTCCACCCTGGTGCAGCTGTGTGCAGGCCGAGGGGAGCCCTGTGCCCCCCACCCTCAGCCTGCAGCCCTGACAGGAATTAATCAGCCTTTTTCCATGGTGCATTTCCACTGCTGCCTAAAAGCTGGGATTAATCCTCCCTTCTTACACTAAGACCTGTCATGGCTAAGGAAAGAAACCTCTTTTTTTCCCTTTAACTGAGCATGGGCTCTTTCTACATCCTGGAATCATGGAATCATTAATGTTGAAAAAGACCTTTAAGATCATCAAATCCAACCATCAATTAGTGCCACCACAAACCATGTTCCCAAGTGTCACATCCACACATTTTGTGGACACTTCCACCACCAACCTCAACTTCCCCTGGCCCAGCCTGAGGCCGTTCCCTCTCCTCCTGTCCCTGTTCCCTGGAGCACAGCATGACCCCCCCCAGCTGTCCCCTCCTGTCAGGAGTTTGCAGAGTCAGAAGGGCCTCCTGAGCCTCCTTTGCTCCAGGCTCAGCCCCTTCCCAGCTCCCAGATGCTCCTGGTGCTCCAACCCCCTTCCCCAGCTCTTGGATATGCTCCAGCCCCTCAGGGTCTGCCTTGTCCTGAGGGGCCCAGAACTGACCCCAGCAGGGGGACAATCACTGCCCTGACCCTGCTGGCCACAGTGGGTGACACCAGCCAGGTGCCAAAGCTGCAATTCCTCCCAAGCAGGACGGCCCCACCCTGCAGCGAGGGAATTGTGCCCCCCTCGGTTGTTTACCCGGCAGAGCTGGAGTCAGGCTGGTACCCAGAGCTGTGGTGGGAGCTGCAGAGCCTCTCACTGGAACTGGAGAGGAGCCTGTGGAGAGAGGGAAAAGTCTGTGAGCCATGGCAGGATCCAAACTGTCCGCCAGGAGAGCGGCACCACTGCTGGGAGGGCAGATGGACAGCTCAGCCCTTTGCCAGACCTTGTCATGGACAAAACCAACCCCTTTCTCCTTCTACATCTGCCACGGGACAGAGATCCTCCCCTGGAGAAGGGATTTGGGGAAGTCTCACTTGGAGGGCCATGAGGGAGAAGATCCAATGAGGATGGGCTGAGTGAGTGGGAGCCTGACTGGGAGCAGCCAGGGGGAGACAGGGCACAGGAGGAACTGCAGGAGATGGGAACATTCCCAAGGCCAATGGAACTGTCCCCAACTCAGTAATTTGAAGGAAGATTGCGACAAAACTATGGAAAACAGCTCTGTCCATCTGCTTAGCAATGAGACCTGGAATGAGGCTGATCTTTAAGGATCCTGTCCAAGGATCTTCTGCCTCCCCTTCACCCCCACAACCACTCCTTGTTACAGATCCCTCAGACAGCACATGGGTGGGCTGGCACTGCCCATGCAGGAGGGACTGCAGGGGCCCAGGATAATGGTATTCCATACTGGATACCTCCTGCCCCTTCACACAGCCTTGTTCTGGGAGCAGTTCTGTCATTTAACCATTGACATTCTGGGGACAGTGACCCTCTCTCTTTGCTGTGATCTCTGTTTTCCTGCAGCAAAGGCCAGTTCCTGGCCAGGAACCAGCTCCCCATTCTCCTGTCCCTCTCTTCTAGCCTCCCACACAATGAAAAATCTCCAGGGATTTTTCTGGATGTATCCCAGACACTCTGCTAGGCAGCTTTAGCTAGGAATGGTTTAAGAGCTGGTCTGATCATACATCCACTCCCTGGAAACCAATCCTCCCTCTCTCAGCTCTTGGCTTTGCCTGCTGGCTCCTATGTCATAAATTTCTGGGGGATTTCCCTCGGAGCCCTTGTGACTCCCCATTTACCTGGAGCTGTTAGAGTTTAAGCTGTCCATGTAGAACGGCACCCTGTGGCTTCTCTGGGACATGGACATGGTGGGATCTCTGGGAAAGGAGTCATGGCTGGCGAGAGGAAGTGGAACAGTCTCAAGCTCTGAGTTTGGGCACCTGAGGGATCCTCACCAGGGTGGAATCTGGGCTGGAATCTCCCTGCTGGGCACTGACCCCTCCCATGCAGACCCCACACCTGCTCACACCCAGGGAATGAGCAAATGGACACAGGGACACTGGGTGGGTGTGGCAGTGGGAGTTCCCTGGCTGGGGAAGGATCCCAGCCCTGCACTCACCGTCCTGCAGGGGGGCTGAAGTCCCCGTGCCCCCTGGCACTGTCATACCAGCTGCTCCTGGGGCTGCTGCTCCCAGAATAAACGTTCCCTCTGGGATCCGGGCTGGGCCTGCTGGGGGACACAAAGCCCTGAGCACACAGCACTGGGAATCTCTGGAGTCCCCACTCTGGGCTCACAGCCACTGCCTGCTTCTGGCACTGCCAAGCCCTGGCACAGCGTGCAATCCCCATCCCTGAAAGTGTCCAGAAAATGTGTGGATGTGGCACTTGAGGCTGTGGCTTGGTGGTGACCATGGGACACAGCTGATGATCACAGAGGCCTTTTCCAGCCATAAGAACTCTACAGTTCCATGGTTCCATCATGCAATGCCCCTGTGTCAGCTCTGTGCTCCACAGGGACAGCAGGCTCCAAACCCAACACCTGAGAAAAGCCAAAGCATTCCCAAATGGATTGCCTGGAGAAGCTGTGGCTGCCCCATCCCTGGAAGTGTCCAAGGCCAGGCTGGATGGAGCTTGGAGCAGCCTGGGACAGTGGCAAGTGTCCCATGCCAGCAGCTTTCCCTGTCTCTGCATCCTAAACCCTTCACCCCCAAATCCTCACCTCCTGGTGCTGAACACCTGGCTGTCCACGTAGCCTGGAATCCTGTGGCTGGGCACAGAGCCCCTGAAGGATTGGTGCTCCTGGAACAGGGGCACAGGGGGCAGGGGCTCGTGGGCACTGCCAACCCCCTCCTGGGAGCTGAAGTCAGACCTGCTGAAGAATTAAAACCACTTTGACCATAAAGCCAAGGGGTGTCTTTGCCCTGAGCAGCTCCCATGAGTGTTCAGGGTGTGCTGAGGGTGGATCTTGCCACTTCCTAAGGGAACAGGGAGAAATGGGGCACCATGGTGTTAATAGAATCACAGGATCAGGGAATTCCAGAATCCCAGAAGGGTTTGGGTTAGAAGGGACCTTAAATCCCACCCAGTGCCACCCCTGCCATGGCAGGGACATCTCCCACTGTCCCAATGTCCAGCCTGGCCTTGGGCACTGCCAGGGATCCAGGGGCAGCCCCAGCTGCTCTGGGCACCTGTGCCAGGGCCTGCCCACCCTGCCAGGGAACAATTCCCAATTCCCAATATCCCATCCATCCCTGCCCTCTGGCAGTGGGAGCCATTCCCTGTGTCCTGTCCCTCCATCCCTTGTCCCCAGTCCCTCTGCAGCTCCCCTGGAGCCCCTTCAGGCCCTGGCAGGGCTCTGAGCTCCCCCTGGAGCCCTCTTCTGTCCAGATGAGCACCCCCAGCTCTCCCAGCCTGGCTCCAGAGGGGCTCTAGCCCTGCAGCAGCTCCGTGCCCTCCTCTGGGCTCTCTCCAGCAGCTCCAGATCCTTCTGATGCTGAACTGCAACAATTCCTGTGGGAGATCCCTGCAGGGCTGTGCTCCTTCCACAGGGAAAGGTGGCACTGGCAGAGCCTGCATTGGTTCCTGAATTCCCTGGGCCAGGAAATGAGCATTTGGATGCCTTGGGCAGGCCAGGAAGGAGACCTGGAGGTGTATGAGGGATGTCCTGGAGCCCTGGCTCTGTACCTGTCCCGGCAGGGCTCAGACTCGTTTGCATGTGGAATCTCTGGAGCTGGGATGCTGCTTCCTCCAGGAACAGAGCTGGACCTGCCAAGACATGAGACCTTTATGGCCTGTGGAAGCACCCTGAGCACAGAATTCCTGTGGGGTGGAGATGCAGCCCCTGGAGAATCTTCTCCCTCAAGGATAAAATAAAAACCTGCAATATCCCTGCATGGAAATGTGCCAGATAGAATCATGGAATCACAGAACTGTTTAGGTTGAAAAAGCCCTCTAAGATCATCAAATGCAACCACCCAGTACCAACCCACCACCAACCACCCAAAGCAATGTGAAAAAAACAGATGGAAAATCCAGACCTCTTAAGAAGCAGGGCTGAAAGGAAGGGCCCCAACCACAGCACCTTTAGTGCCTCCTCCAGAGCCCCCTGCAGCAAATTCCCCTTGTCCTCCCAGGAGGAAAAGCAGTCCCCTCATCACTCTTGCCTTCTTGCAGTGCTTTCCTCACTCTGCACACAGGATGACAGTCCCAGGTCCCTGTCCCTGCTCCCAGCAGTGTCCTGGGAGTGCAGCTCAGACCTGGGGAGAAGAACACTCTGCTCACCCTCTGTGTTCTCACTGACACACCAGGGAGGGAGCCTCAATTCTTCCAGTTTAGGTGGAAAATATAGACAAAAGAAAGGAAATCAGTCTATAAAGTCCTCCCATGTGGACACCCAGCCCTGACTGGGGAAGTTCAAAACCAGACCCAGTGTTACTATGGAGCCCAATGCCAAATTTTATTGCTTGTTGTCTCTCCCTAGACACCCTCCGCTCCCAAAGCTGGGAGCAGATTTCCCAAGTCTAGGAAGGCACTCCTGGCAGTCCAGCTGGACAGGGTTTGATGGCTCCAGCTAAGGAGGATCTTTTCTCCCAGGTTTTCCTATAAAACCATGGTAAAAGGTTCATCCAGTAGAAGCAGCACTAGAATCAGGCACCAGAAGGCCCCAAGTAGCACCAGAAGAGGTTTAGGTTGGATATTGGGAAAAATTTCTTCATGGAAAGGGCTGTCCTTTCCATTTCTTCATGGAAAGGGCTGTCCTTTCCATTTCTTCATGGAAAGGGCTGTCCTTTCCTGGAAATGTTCAGGAAATGTGTGGGTGTGGCATTGAGGCCATGGGTTAGTGCTGAACGTGGTGATGGTGCTGGCTGATGCTTGGACTTGATCTGAGAGGTCTTTTCCAACCTTAACAATTCCTTTACTCTATGAAAAGGAGAACCTGGGAGGATATTTATCAGCAGGGGGGAAGATGCCCAAGGAATGACCCCTCATCCCACAGAAGGCAGGGGGAATATCCCATTCCTTACCCAGCCCTGCTGGGTTCAGTGGGATCCTTCAGCCTGGGGGGCTCTGGGGGGCTGTCATGGCCAGGAGCTCCTTGGCCCCTCTCAGTGAGGCTGGCTGAGTCCAGAAACCTAAACCAGACATCCAGGATTGGGAAAACCCATGCTGGGATGGGCAGAAACCCATTCCCTGGAGAGGAGCAGGCCAGGAGCAGGAGCCAGTATGGCCAGAGCCACTCCAAACATCCCAGATCACCAAGGCTAGACATCCCAGATCACCAACCTCAAACATCCTGGATCACCAAGGCTAGACATCCTGGATCAACAACCCCAGACATCCCGGACCACCAGCCCCAGACACCCCGGGTCACCAGCCCCAGACATCCCCGGGTCACCAGCCCCAGACATCCCCGGGTCACCAGCCCCAGACATCCCCGGGTCACCAGCCCCAGACATCCCAAACCACCAACCCCACTCATCCCGGATCACCAACCCCAGACAACCCCGGATCACCAACCCCAGACAACCCCGGATCACCAACCCCAGACAACCCCGGATCACCAACCCCACACACCCCAGGTCACCAACCCCAGACATCCCAAACCACCAACCCCACACATCCCAAACCACCAACCCCACACACCCCGGGTCACCAACCCCAGACACCCCGGACCACCAGCCCCACACATCCCGGATCACCAACCCCACACACCCCGGATCACCAACCCCACACATCCCGGATCACCAACCCCACACACCCCAGTCCCCCCAGTCCTCACCTTGTCTCATCCCAGTAAGGCTGGTGGTGGGATGGGCCCTCAGGATTCGTGGAGCTGCTCCTCTCCTCATAGCCCAGGACAGAGCTGGAAACCAGAGCAACACCCATCACATCCCTAAAACCTGGCACCTGGATCCTGGCACTGCTCTGCTCACCCGGCCAGCCTTGTGCCAGCTGAAAGGTGGCACTGGGGTTTTCTCTAGGACAGCCCATGTCCCTGTGCTCCAGCTGCTCCCTGCTGCTGCTGCAGCATCCTGGATTATCAGGAAATTGAAAGGGAGTGACTGAACCCCACTGAGAGCACAGGAGAAGGAAAAATCTGGAGTGCTCAAAGGAGGTGGAGGGGGATACAACACAAAGCTCTTGGTTTATTTAAACCTCAGTTGTTTCCATCCTTGGGAAAAAAGCAGGAGAAGGAGCCTCTTTCTGTACCTGCCCATTCAGGTTTCCCTTAATGCTCAGGATTGTTCCTACACTCACTAAACTCACCCTACTCTTACCTTTTAAAGGAATATTCTGTGTTCTCAATGTGCACAGGGGTTCTCTCAGTGGGATGAAAAGGGACATCAGGCTGCAAGGCTGACCTGGCAAAAAAAAAATGGGGAATTTAGAGCTTCCAGAAATTTCTAGGAGATTTATATGGAACAGCAACACTGCACTTTTTATCAGCCCAGGAAAGAGGAAAGAATTGTCTCAGAGAACTGATTTGCCCTCAGAAAAACCCATTTTCAATCCTATCCAAGAGGAGGAGAGGCTGGTGGTGGAACTGAGGTGGTTACTGGGATTAAATTCCCACACATGTCTGTACGGGAATTTCCTGTCCTGTCCCAGGATGGAGCAGCTGGACAAAGCACAATAGGAGTAACTCTGGGGAAGACATTCCTACATCACCAGCAGCAGCTCCAGGCCATGGGATCCTCCTCTCCTCAGCTCAGGGGGATGAATTCATTTCACAGAATCCAGGAATCATGGAAAGGTTTGGGTTGGGAGGACCTTAAAGCTCATCCAGTCCCACCCCCTGCCATGGGCAGGGACACCTTCCACTATCCCAGGGTGCTCCAAGCCCCAGTGTCCAACCTGACACTGAAACCTGCTCACCTCAATGCCTTTGTTGGGCCAATACAGGGAAATGAATCCCAAAGTAATGGACAAGGGAGAGAAGCAGCTCCAGGGAGATCAGTGCTGCCAACAGCAGCAACTCCTCCCTGACCATGCACCCCTGGCAAAGTCAGGGGAGCAAAGGCTCTAAAACCCTGTGGGATGGAGGCACTAAAGGCAGTGCTAAAGCTGCTGGATCTGCTCCCAGAATCCCAGGGGCTGGAAAACCCCTCTGGGATCATTGAGTCCAACCTGTGCCCCATCCCCACCTTGTCCCCAGCCCAGAGCACTGAGGGCCACATCCAATCCTTCCCTGGACACCTCCAGGGATGGGGACTCCAGACCTCCCTGGGCAGCCCCTGCCAATGCCTGACCACCCTTTCCAGAAGAAATTCCCCCTGAATTCCCAGGCTGCTTTTCTGGGAAGAAGTTGTGTAACAGTGAACAGGAAGATGCTGCTCCCACTGTTTACCCACACAGGATTTTCCTTTCCGAGGTGCTTTGTTGCCCAGTTTGGATTCTAATCCCAGCTCTACTCTGGACAAATTGCTTATTCCCAGCCCAGGTCCCTCTGGAAGCAGAGGATGCCAGCCCCAGGCCCTGTCACACCTGGTGTCCCCCTGGGAGGGCTGGAGCAGCTTCTCTGGAGCATCCTCAGGAGCGTGCCAGGAACCAGAGCTGGACCTGAGAGACAAGGAGGTTGGTCCCAGCAGGAGCTCAGCAAGAGGAGAACACCAAGAAGAAAAAATATCCACCACCAGCTTTTCCTGGCTCCAGGGGAGCATCTTTCCCTCCCTCCTGCTTAGCCCTGAGAATTTCCTGAAGGGCTGAGCCCCAGATCCAACCCACTCATCCTCATGTGAGGAAAGCAGCTGGAAGAGCCCAGGCCTTTTGAGCTGCCGGGTCAGGCCCACCCTCCTCTGCAAGGGCTGCTCCCAGAGCTCATCCACAGGGCAGTCCCAGGGCAGAAGAACCTCCCCCTGCCCCCAACTCTAAAATGAAGGAGAAAAAGGGAATTTTGCACTTACTCTGGTGGGTAAAACCCATTCTTGGCATCTGTGTGCTCAGCAAAACTGGAAAAGAGAGACACAACTTGAGGAATGTTCTACAGTGACTTTTCCCTGATTTCCTAGAGGAGAGAGCAGTTCTACAAAGCCCATGTGGAATCTGTTTTTCCACCAGTAAAGATCCATTCCAAGATCCCAGCCAGCTCCAGAACAGCAGTTTATGGATTGTGCAGTGCCCAAGTCAGGGATCCCACAGTGACTCTACCTTCCATTCGTGGCAGCCCTGGTGGCTTTGGGGGTCCCTTCATCCCATGGGAACCTCTCAGGCTTTTCCTTCAGAGCTTTGTCACTAGAAAAAAAGGAAAATTCCAGTAAAAATGGGACTTGTCAGCATTTGTAATGTATCATCCTAGAGAAATCAGCTGATATTTGGTTAGGGAACAAAATGGGGTTAAATCTCTCCATCAGGATAGGCAGGGCTGCATTCCCAAGCCCAGTGGGTCTGACTGCAGATCATGGATCATGGAACCATGGTCCAAGAGCAGCAGGAGCCAGCAGGCAGCAAGGACCAGCACAGCCCTGGGAGGAGGGACAGCTCCAGGGAATGGCAGCAGGAGGCAAAGGGAGCAGCAAAATAAAGGGAAATGCAGGGAGGGGAGTGTTCAGGGGGCAGGATCCCGGAGCAGTGAGGGAGGGGAGATCTCTGCCAGGCTCAGCTTTGCCAGCAGATGCTGCTCTGGGAGTGCAGCCCAGCCCGGGCTGGGGGACACCAGGAGCAGGGAGCTGCTGCTCCCCAGCAAACCCAGGCTCAGCAGCACAGAGCAGCCCCTGCCCAGTCCTTACCCATCTCCACCCTGGGACACCGTTTCCAAGGAGAATTTCCCACTCAGGGCCTGTCTGTCCTCACCATTCCTGCAGGGAGAACAGCAGGAGTGTGAGGGAGGGGGAGGAGGAGCCACAGGAGCTGCACAGAAAGGGCTGCAGGTCTGGATTCCAATTCCCAGCACAGAGCTGGGCAATGTTCAAACTGTGGCAGGCCCTGGCTTCCATCTGGGAATGTTTCCTCCCAGGTGCTTCTGCCCCTTCCCTGGAATTCTCTGTGTGGTGTTTGCTGTTCTGTGCTGCTCCATGAACACATGGACATGGATGGATGGACAGCTGGACATGGATGGACAGATGGATATGGATGGATGGACAGGTGTGTTGGAGATGGATGGACACAGATGGATGAACAGGTGGACATGGATGGATGGACATGTGGACATGGATGGATGGACATGTGGACAGGTGGGGTGGATGCAGGTGGAACACGTGGTAACAGACAGGGCTGGAGCCAATCACCTGCAGCTCCACCTGCACCTCGTGGCTCCAGAATGTGCTGCCCACCTGGACAGGGGAGGTGGAGATGGACAGGTGGACATGGATGGATGAACAGATGGATACGATGGATGGATGGACAGGTGGACATGGATGGACAGGTGGACATGGATGAATGGACATGTGGGATGGATGGACAGGTGGACATGTCCTGGAGGATTTTGTGTCTCCAGGGAATCCCCCCAGGCAGAGCCGAATTCCCCATCCTGCCCTCAGGATCCTGCAGGGCCTCCAGACCCACCTGATTTCAGCAGAAGTGGAGATTTTCCCCAAAGTGTCACTCAGGGATGGGGATGTTTGGCTCCTGCTGCCTGGTTTGGGGCTGTAGGAGAGGACAAAGGACAAAATTGTCATTCCTGATCAAACCAGCTCCAGCTGCAGCAAATCTACCCTGCACTGGAGTGTTCCTTATGGGAATGAAGAAAATGGGAATGAATCATCACTCTTCTCAATCCATTCACTGGCAAAGTCATCTTCTCAGAAGCAATTTTAAATTAAAAGCACAGATTTTGCCAGGAATGTCCACTTTCTACAGTGGCACACCAGTAAAAGCACCAGGACAAGGGCAGCAGCCAAAGTGCTGTTTGCAGTGAGAACTATTCCACCTTTTTTATACACCAGGCATGGATTCAGTCAAAAACCTTGGAAAACAGCTAAAAATTATTCCCTTACACCTGTTTGGCAAGAAAGGATTCAGCTGGATGGGGCCTGGAGCAACCTGGCACAGTGGAAGGTGTCCCTGCCCATAGGGGTGGGACTGGATGGGCTTTAAAGTCCTTCCAACCCAAACCAATCCAGGATTCTACATTTGGGTTTTTTCCTTTTGGGTTTTGACCCCTTCTATCAGGATATTGGCAGATCCTGCCATGGGTTTCAGCCATAAAACCTTTATTAAGAGCTGTCTGCAGCCAGGAAAGGCTTCCCATGGAAAGATGGGTTTGGTTCCTCCCCTTTTCCAGAGTGGTGCCCACAGAGGTCTCTGACCTTCAGCCCAAACTGTCCCACCCATCCTGGCTGTGCTGGAACTCCTACCTGGAAGGAGAGGCTGCTGCTGCCTTTGGCTCATCCCAGGAAGACCCAGGGCTGGTTTTTCTTAGCCCATTAGCACTGACAAAAAAAAAAGGAGAACAACATAACAAATCAACAAAACATTAACCCAGGTGATTGTTAGGAGCTTCTCCCCTGGGAGCACAAATGCTGCTTTGTGCCCACAGCTCCTGTGCTGCTCCCTGAGCAGTGTCCCTGTGCTCTGTGGCACTGCTGTCACTCACATCTGCCTTTCTGCTCGGGTTTAGAAACTGATTTTCCCCGTTTATCCCAGCTGGAGCTGTTTCTATCCCCAGTGTTTCCTGGGAGGTCTCCTCTGCAAAGTCCCCATGTCTGGTAGTGTTTGGACAGCTGATAAAAGCAGTTATCCCCAGAGCTGGCAAAGGCTGGAATCAGACATCCTGCCCTGAGGAATGAGTACCTGCTGCTCTCCGGAGCACCCCTGGATGAAGCCGGCACAGTCGGACTCCTCCTCTGCTGTCCTTCCTCCTCTTCTATCTCAATTCTTTCCACAGGGACAAAGACACAAATGGCACATCATTTCCTCTTTTCTGTAGCTTTCCAGGCAGTTTATCCCTGTTTTTCCCCAGCCATGATTTCCCTGTGTCCTGAGCAGGTTATTGCTGCTGCTCCTTGTGCTCCTGCTGAGCATCCCAAGGGGCAGAATGCAGCCAGGTCAGGGGGATCTTTCCACACAGCATCAGCTGAGTTCTTGGATTCCAGAGTGTGGGAATTGGAAAAACAGAAACTTCCACGGACATTGAAGGGTTTAACCTGCAGCCTTAGGAGAAGCTTGGATTGATGTAAAAATACAATACACGGACATTAAGCAGAAAACCTATAAACTTATGTTTTTATAGTTGTAAGTAAGAATATGCCTTAAGTAAGTAATAAACTGTATTGGTAAGATGGTGAAGGGTTTGTAGTGTAGGGGTGTAGCTGTACAGAGTAAGCTGAGAGTTTAGATGTTATAACAGAGGCATACGTGTGCATGTGAGACAGAAGCCCATTAGGCAAAATTATCTGCAGTGCAGCAAAATCAAATAAAAATGACCAATTAGAAAAGCAAACTAACCCTTGTAATATCTGTTCATTAGATTAGAAAGTTCTACATTGTCTTCTAACAAAGAACTTGTGACTACTCTGGAGCTATGACTGACTCTTAAAATCTCCCAGCCTCTGAGACTGATGTTTATCTGAGCAGTAAGTCGTTCTTAGCTCAAAAATAGTCCCATCCCTTCATTACTAACAGTGGCAGTGATAGCAGAGGGAGCCCTGGGCACGTTTCCCTGTCCCACAGACAGCTCCAGGAGCATTCTCCTGGCAGCCTGGAGCAGCTTCCCAGGAAGCAGGGAGGCTGTGGCTGAGTCTCCCCACTTTCAAGCTGTCCATAACCCAAAGCACCATCAGGATTGCATTCCTAGTTGTTCCAACACTGTTTATCCCAAAAAAAGCAGTGAGATCCAACCCCCAGCATCCTTTTTCAAGGAATTGTTCTTCCTCTGCTGTGAAACTGCTGGGATCTGCTATCCCAGCCTGGTACGTGCACCCAGCCCCAGCAGTGCTCCCTGAGGTCCAGCACCTACCTCTTGGCAAACAGGGGTGGGAATTCCTGTGTTGGGCTGCTGTGGAGGAAGGATTAAGGAGCAGTTAAAGGACTGGAGGGAAAGACACTCCCTGGGCAGGGGCAGAGCCCCCCCAGACCCTGCTCCAGGTGTGCAAGGTCCTGTCACCTCTCTGGGCAGAGCTGGCCCCAAGGGGTGTCACACCAATGAAATAATGCAACAAAACTGCAGAGAGCAGCTGAAGGACTGAGGCTGAAAATGGGACTCTTGATTGCCTTAGGGAATTAGGGACTCCCATGGATTTTCTTTTCTGGAAGTTTCATCCCTCTCAATAAGGAATAAGTGGATGATTTCCCAGTTCTGCAGAAACCTGCAGACACCAAGGAATCATGGAAAAGTTTGGGTTGGAAGGACCTTCAAGATTTTCCAGCCCCACCCCTGCCATGGCAGGGACACCTCCCACTGTCCCAGGCTGCTCCAGCCCCAATGTCCAGCCTGGCCTTGGGCACTGCCAGGGATCCAGGGGCAGCCCCAGCTGCTCTGGGCACCTGTGCCAGGGCCTGCCCACCCTGCCAGGGAACAATTCCCAATTCCCAGTCTCCCATCCATCCCTGCCCCCTGGCAGTGGGAGCCATTCCTGGGTCCTGTCCCTCCATGCCTTGTCCTCAGTGCCTCTCCAGCTCTCCTGGAGCCCCTTCAGGCCCTGGAAGAGCTCTGAGCACTCCTTGGATCCTTCCCTTCTCCAGGTGAACATTCCCAGCTCTTCCCTTGTAGGGAAGGAGTTCCAGTCCCTGGAGCCCTTGTGGCCTGTCCTTGGCTGCTGTGTTGGAGAGGTTCCCCCCAGCTCCAGCTGCCCTTCCTGGCTCCTGTTCCCCTCCCAGCCCTGCACTCACCCGTTGCTCTTCTTGGCAGCAGACAGGACGTAGGCGCGCTCGCGGCCGGCCGAGCGCCGCAGGACGCTGTTGGCAGCCTCCGTCCTGGAGGGGGGACAGGGCAGGGAAGGGCTCACAGCCTGCTCATCCTGCTGCTCCTGGCTGCCTGGAGCCTTGCAGGGGCAGGGAACAACCACTGCAGGCTGGGCTAACCCTGAACGAGCCCCTGCGCTCTGGGGAGCAGATTTCATGGAATCGTGGAATGGGTTAATGTAGGGGGATACAGGACGGGGAAATGAAGGTGGTATAGAATGTAATCTTATCCCCTAAAGAATTGCAGCTGAACCAATTACTAAAGATTAGGAGCAGGCCTGAGGATAACAGGCCACACCTGCAGCAAATAAGAACAGTATTATAAAAGAGTGGATTGGTGGGATCCAGAGTTAGATGACTTCTGCAAGGACTGGGAACAGTTGGTGCTTAGAGGAGCTGCCTACAAGAAACATCAAGGAGGCATGAAACTCTGGTGGTATGGAATCTCTGCACTATAATGATAACAGAACTCTTGATATATAAGACAACAGGTTAAGGTTGGAAAAGGCCTTTAAAATCATCCAGTCCAACTATCAGCCAGCACCACCACCATGGTCACCATAACCCATGTCCTCAAATGCCACAGCCTTTTTGAACACTGTCAAGGATGGGGACCCCACCACTGCCCTGGGCAGCTGTGCTAGGCCTGGATCATCCATTGCAGACCTGGACTAGTGCAATACTGGATTCCATGGACAGAAAAATGGGGCATGGGTTCTGTGCCTGACACTCCATGGAGTGTCTGCACTGACATGGGTACTACCATGTGTCCCAGGGGAGAAGGGATCACTGCCAGGGATCCAGGGGCAGCCCCAGCTGCTCTGGGCACCCTGTGCCAGGGCCTGCCCACCCTCCCAGGGAACAATTCCATCCCAAAATCCCATCCATCCCTGCCCTCTGGCAGTGGGAAGTCAGAAATTCCCTGTGTCCTGTCCCTCCATCCCTTATCCAAAGTTCCTCTCCAGCTCTTTAGTGGTTGGACCCCAGGGGAGACAATGACCAAGTTTTCCTTTGTACAAGATTTGTGGCTGAGGAAAAGGGGCCTCAGAAACTCCATCAAAAGCAATGAGGCTGAAGCCAGAGAGACCAGACCAGACCTGTTCCTGTCCTGTACCCCTGGATCCCTGGCAGTGCCCAAGGCCAGGCTGGACAGGGCTTGGAGCAGCCTGGGACAGTGGAAGGTGTCCCTGCCCATGGCAGGGTGGCACTGGATGGGCTTTGAGGTCTCTTCCACCCAAACCACACCGGGATGATTCTCTGATCCTATTCCTGGTAGGAGAAGGACAGCCCAGCCTGGAGCTGCCCTCGGGTGCCAGTCCTGGAGTGATCCCAGCTCTGGGCACTCCCGCAGTGGGGAGAGCTGGGCCCCTCCCTCCTGCCAGTTTGTGCATTTCCATCTGCCCCATGGCCACCAGGCAGCCCAGGGATCCCAGAGCCCCTCCCAGCTGCCTGGGTAACTGGGCTGTGCTGTCAGGCTGCATCACGTCGGGATTTTAATTACGTTTTGTTGGGAGCGCAGTGGCCCGTGGGCAGAGCGGGGCTCGGAGCAGGGAGAGCTGGCAATATCCTTGGATTGCACCCAGCCCTGAGCTGTGCCTGGGTCCAAAACCCTCCAGGATGGAACAGAACTTGTCACTGTCCCTGCAGGAACATGGGGGCACCTCCAGGCCTCACCTCTTCTTATGCTCATCTGGAGAAAAAGGCACATCCTCCTCCTCCCCATCCACAGACTTCTGCCGGACGTTGTACGGAGCTCTGGGAGGGAGGGAAGGGAGAGCCAGGGTCAGGGAATTGCTGCTGGGGCTGGGGCAGAGGCAGCAAGAGCCAATCAGAAGTGATTCCAAAGCATTGGGTCAGACCCTGAAAGACACCTGTATTTTCCACAGGGGTGCACGTGTCCCTGAAGGACTTTTGTCCTTAGTCCAGAGGCCCCAACCCCATTTTGGATCAAAACCACGCTCTGGGACACAAAAAGCTGGGCAGGAAATGCCCAGAGTGCTGCTCTGCCTTTTTCCAGGCTTCAGGAAAGCTCCAAACCCAGTTCTTAGGCTGCACCCTCCATTTCTGCCTGGTGATGAAATCCCCTCCATGCAAAGGCCGGTGTCAGTCCAAGGAGCACCTCCTGGCCCACAAAGAGGTGGCCCTGGGAACCACTGGAATTCCCAGTGGAAGCTCTGGAAGCTCCAGGGGCATTCCTGGGGCTCCCACTGAGCAGGGACAGGAGGAGCTGCTCCCTTTGCTCACTCACAGTTTCTTGTAGTCCTCTGTGGTCATCCTGTATCCAGAGGGGGAGCGACTCTGTCCCTTCGGGGCAGTGCTGGGGGGACACAAACCACGCCTGGGAATGTGACCTTCCCATCCCTCCCCACCCCCTTCCCCAGGGGAGCTCCACAGGGAGGGGGACAGCAGCATAGCCCCAGATATCCCCACTCTGGCTGCAGGGAATGCTGCTCAGCTGGAGGGGAGGGGACAGGGGGACCCCTCGTACTTTTTCTGTGCTGGGCTGGAAGGTGAAGGATCCGGCGCGGAGGAGCTTTTATCAATGGTCCTGGTGAACACTCCCCTGGGGAGGGAAGGGACATCTTACATAAAATGGAAAATGTTTGGAGCCAAGTTCAAACCAGCAGTGAAACAACAGGGCTGGCTCTTGGCCCTGAGCACTGGGATGTTCCCAGCTGATGGAACCCAGCAGGGAACATTTTCTGCTCCTGATCCAGGCCTCCTCCCCCTGCAGCCCAGATCTCTCCCATTCCATACCCACCTGATGAGGTATCCAGACTGGGGCTTGGAGGCAGAGGACCTGTACAAAGAACAGACATCAGGGAGTAAAAAACATGGGGAAAACAACAGCAGCAGCACCAGGACTGAAGGAGAAAGTCCATGTGGATATCAAACCAAAAACCCAGCTAAGTAGGCCTGGAGGGATCCCACAGCTGGATTGACTCTGGAGGGATGTTTTCAAATGAATAATCATCAGAACAAGCTCTATAGAGGATTTTTTATAGGGGAAGTGAATTTTAGAGTGAGCCAATTAATATTAGCCATGCTGGCAGTGTTTTCTGGCCCAGGCTGGTGGCACAGGAGGGGGAAATCAGCTGTGATGCAGACCCTGATTATTTTATCACTGGAGAGCAACAGCTGCACTCCAACTCCTCCAAGGTGCATTCCCAGGGGGAAGCACAGCATGGCTCCTCTGGAGAGCACCAGGAGTGGGGAGAGCTGCCACAGAGAAAGGGAAGCAGGGAAGTGCTCAGGGGAGAGGGCAGAGCTCTCACACAGGGCCAGGCCCTTCCCAAGAGTTTGGTATTTCAGGATATTCCTCCAAGTTCCTGAGTTCCTGGAGACCCCTCATGCTCTGAACTGACCTCAGCCCCACCCAGGGCTCCCCCTGCCCTGAGGAGCCCCTGCCTGGAGCACTGAGGGGCTGCACCAGCAGAGCAGATGATGTCCCAGCCCAGCCTTGTGCCATCAGTGGCTCAAAGGCTGCGTTCCCCTGAATTAAAGTCATCCCTGCATCCTGCTGCACCTCTCAGGAGCCACTCCCTGCTCTCTCCAAGGTGAGACATCCCTGTGAGCAGGGCTGTGCCCAGAGCTGTGCTGGCAGCAGGAGGTGAGGGGGGCACACAGCGAGGTGAGGGCTGGCACTGAGCCCAGCAGGCAGCAGAGCAGGGAATGGGGTGGGAATGGGCCCCTGGAATTACCTGTCCTGCTGGGGAGCAGCGGGTTTGGGGGCTGGGGGTGCCCCACCAGCCTGGCCAGACCTGAGGGAACAGCAAACACAAGGATGTGGTTAACTGATTGCTGAGCATGGGTTTGGAGAGAGGGGAAGGGAAGAGGGGTTTGGAATTGGGTCTGTTCCCAAGTAAAGAGGAGCTGGAGCAGACTGGTGTTCCCTGGCACAGGGCACTGTGTGACATCCAGGGACTGTTTGATCTCCTGCCCCTCCCATCCTAAACTCCCTCCAGGCCTGCCCTGAGTTTGTCACCCCAAAGCACAATCTGGCTTCACAAAACTTCAGAGCTCTCCTGAGCCTCCTAATCTGTCTGTGCTGCTGAATCCCAGCTCCAGCAGAAGACACTTGTCCAAGCTTCTGCCCACCCTGCATTTATCAGAAATAAAGAGGAGCAGCAACTCCTTTGGCAGTTCTCAGGGTCTTTCTGGGTCACTGCAACCCCGAGATTGTTGAAAGTCTTTTCCCAGCCCAAGCACTTGAAGAATGAGTTGGAGATCTTCAGTTCTTGGTCTCAAAGTTGTTTATTGTTCCTTATCTATAAAAAAATTTTCTCCTGCCCTGCTGAGGTCCATCCAGCAGGACAGTTCCAGGCACTCTGCCTGCCCCCAGGGCAGGGTTATGTCTTTATACTAAAAACTACCTGTACAATGTTTACAATTCCTTTCCAATACCCATCACCTGTGTTAGACAGTGAGCTTCTACTCTAAACCAATCTGTGAGTGCCACCATCACAGCAGAAGATGGAGGCCAAGAAGAAGAAAGAGAAAGGCTGGACACACCCTGTTCCCTCCATCTTGCCTCCTGAACCCCCATACCAGAAACCCCAAAATCTACTTTCCACCCCATGATAACTTCACTATTATTCTACCTAAACTGTTGTGGCTGGCTGATCTTCATCTAAGGTTGGTAATTTGCTCCACGGGTCATAATCAAACCCACAGGTGTTTTGGGCTCTGTGCCAGGGCTTCTGAGCCCCCTGGCAGGGGTCTTGGCCATCCTGGACAGCCAGAGGGATGTTCTGGGTTCCCACAGGCAGTGTCAGTGCCTGGCACCAGGGGCACCTCAAAGCCTGTCACAGCACATCCTGTGCAGCTGGAGACTACGGAGCCTGGGGAGCCCAGAGCTCCGGGAGGGTCCGGACAATGCCCTCGGGCACAGGGTGGGATCAACGACCCAACTCAGGGAATTCTGATGGGGAAAGGGAAGGAGAAGGAAATGCTCTTACAGGGGGCTGCTCTTCTCCTCCTCCGAGTCGGAGTTGTGGTGCTGGATCCAGCTCTTGTCCCCCCGCAGGGTGGTGCGAACCTTCATCTGCCGGATGATCCTGCGGCGATCCTCGTCCGTGGGCGGGATCAGCCCTCCTGGAGAGCAGGGACAGGGAGGGAAGCACTCACAGGACCCCGGGGCAGGTGGGATCCAGCCCAGCACGGAGCCCTCCCCTCCCTATCAGAGCTTCCAGCCCTGGTGGAAGATGGAGACGAGGCCATCCAGACCTCGGGATCAGCATCCTGCTGGATCACACAGGGTCACTCAGAGTTTCACACCTCCCTGGTGGCCTGTCCCAGCTGGGACATTCCAGCAGCTCCAGCTGGGCAGGGGAAACACAGGAAAACCAGGAGAGGAAGGAATTACCTTTAGTGACACCCAGGGACATCATGGTCTCAGCAGCACCTTCCCCTTCTGCCACTGCTCACAGCCAACAAGGACCTGGAAGACATGGAAAAGGGGATAAGCAAAATATCAGCTGTGGTATGAAAACCTGGCAGGCAAGGGGAGAGGAGAGCACTGCCACAGAGCCACAGCAGTGGTGGCACAGCCAGAGGATGGGGAGGCTCTGGCCTTGCACCAGAGCTGGGATTCCTCCCCATCCACGAACCTGCAGCATCAAGACAGGGAAAATCAAATCCAGCCATGCCAGAGGTGTTTTTCCAGATCTGGGAGGAAAGTGGTGGAGGAAACCTTGCAAAAGTGTCCAGCTGGGCCAGACCTTCTGGAGTCCACAGAACCTCAAGGACCCCTTGGGATTTGTGTCAGGTGGGATGAGAAGGATCCAGGTTAATTCAGCACCTGGCTGTGTTTGTCAGAAATGGTTCAGTTCTGTTTGCGCTCCTAGATTTTCCATGGAAGCTACAGGACCAGCTTTTGGTTTTGGAGGAGAAAATCCCACATTGAATCCCATAATGGTTTGGGTTGGATGGGACCTTAAATCTCCTCCAGTTCTAAACTCTTCCATGGCAGGGACACCTTCCAGCTTTTACCACCCCCAGTCTTCCCTTGCCAAAACTCTCTCCTGGATTCTGGAATGACTCTGCCAGTCAGAAATAAGAAGGCCCAACCCTGTTTGGGAGAATCTCAAAGGAGGTTGTTGTTCCCTGCTGGTGAGCCTGTCCCTGCAGTACTCCTGGGAAGCCACGTGCCCAGGAGGAATGCTGGGTGCTGATCTCATGGCATTGGGCTTGGCAAAGCCTCCTCCCCTGGCTTGTCTCAGCCAGGGATCTGCCCACTGCTCATCCCCTGCTCTTCCCATCGGGATCATGAACAATTCCCCAGAGCTCCTCTCCCTCTGCAAACATTCCCAAGGATTACACCCACCCCTGTGCCATCCAAATATGCAACAGGTAGCTGATAGTCCAGTATTCCTTCTGGTATTTGGAATAACCTGTGATTTATGGTTCAGCTCATGTCCCTGGTACTTTAAATCCCTTATTTTGTGTGCTGGATAAATGCAACTGGTGCTCAGCTTTGGATACCAGCCTCTGGGATGGGGCACTGGGATGTCCCAGGCAGCAGGAGATCCATAAAAATGGTTCATTCCCACTGACAAAGCATCCAACATGAGCCACCCAGCACAGGAGATAAATGTCCTCTCTGCACAGGACCAAAATGCCATTCAACTGTGTCCTCAGACTGCACACTGCAAAGGGAGCTGCTGCTTAAACCCGTACTAAGTAACACAGAATCCAATTTCCAAAGGCATGGAACACCACCAAGACAGCACTCCCAGGTCTGGAACACCACCAAGACAACACACACAGCTCGTTCCCACCTCTGGGAAGCCCTGGGGCTCACAGGCAGCTTTGCTGAGAGCCACAGATCCCCTGGTTTGGGACCAAGCCTGGCTGCAGTGTCCCACTGAGGACACTCTGAAGCTCCTCATCCCATGAGGAAAGCCATTCCGAGCTACTTAATGAGGAAGCAATTCCAGGCTATTTAATAAGTAAAATGGCTGGACCCTTGTTTGGATGGCAATGTTCAGGGGCACAGGGGCAGGGCCCAGCTCAGGGGCAGAGCCCGGCTCAGGGGCAGGGCCCGGCTCAGGGGCAGGGCCCGGCTCAGGGGCAGGGCCCGGCTCAGCCCGGCTCAGGGGCAGAGCCCGGCTCAGGGGCAGGGCCCGGCTCAGGGGCAGAGCCCGGCTCAGGGGCAGGGCCCGGCTCAGGGGCAGGGCCCGGCTCAGCCCGGCTCAGGGGCAGAGCCCGGCTCAGGGGCAGGGCCCAGCCCAGCCCAGCTCAGGGGGAGAGCCCAGCTCAGGGGCAGGGGGCAGGGCCCACCCCAGCCCAGCCCAGCTCAGGGGCAGGGCCCGGCTCAGCTCTCCCTTCGCACACTCCTTGGGGTCCCTGCCCTGGCCCGGCTGTTTCCATGCCCCGGAGTTTTGGAGCAGCTCCAGCACCCCAGACTCCTCTCGCATCCCCGGCAGGGAGTGTTCCCTATGGATCACAGCCCGTGGATGAACCAGGGGGCACCTCCAGCTGTGCCCGAGGCTGCAGAGCTGCCCTGGCCCTGTGAGGGTGACCTGTCCCTGCCCAGCCATCCTGTCCCATCCTGTCCCTCAGGAGTGCAGGCACAGCCACACCAACTCTTCCCTAAGAAATTCTTCAAGTGCCTGAAATCAGCAGCACAGTCCTTAATTGGAAAGGATTGCTTTCCACGAAAAGCACTTGAACAGCTCTAATTACCCTGCAGGAGATGAAACACTCGCTGTTCTTTCAAAGCTGATGGCAGCTCCTCTTCCCTGCTGGCCACCCTGCTTTGGGGTGGCTCAGCTGGGACTTTGAAATGTTAAAAACAGGAGTTCAGCCTGAAGTTTCTGGGCACCTGGGGTAATGGCCCCTTTGAGCCTAACAGAACCTTGTGTGCCTTGGGGATGAGCTGGATCCCAGCTGGACCCAGCTCTGAGGACTGAAGGAATGCCCTGGTGTCTCTATAGGACACAAAACAACAGGAGTGCACACACTGCTGCTCTCAAGGTGAACAAAAGGGCAGTTTATTTTCTGACTCTAACATTTCTAGTTTTCTAAAAGTGACAGTGGATTGGAGGGTGACAGTGCCACCTCTCCAATGACACTGGACAAACTAACAGTCTATTAAATTTCTCTTCTTCTATAAAAGAATGCAAAACAATAAGTTATTTACAGAAAGTGTGTGAGAAAGTTCGTTACAAGAATGTAAACATCAGAAGGCTTAGAAAATCTTAAAAAATCAGGGTGGCACCCTGGGAAGAGTGAATGGGGCTGCTTTGATCCCATAAATCCAGCTCTCCTGGGAGCACCGGGTGCCCTGAGACCCCTGAAGTGTCCCTGCAGCCAGGCCCAGCTTCCAGCACTCCTGCTCCCTGGGTTTGGCTTCCTGGCCCTGGGATAGGATGCCCCAAGCCCCACACTCACTCTCCCATGCTGATTCCTGTCTCAGCTCCCTTTGGGCCAGGAACCCCCAGGTCCTTCTGCTGCCCTCCCTGTCCCTGCAAGGCCCCGGTGGCACTGGAGGACCTTCAAGGTCCCTTCCAGCCTCAGTGGCTCTGGGACTCCTGGACAAGGGCTGAAACTCTGGGTTCCTCACACAACCTGTGCCCTCACCAGGGTTATTTCCCCCAGCCCAAACCCATGGGGCATCACTGATGGTCCCAGCTCTGAAGTGATCCCGTCCTGCCCATGGTGATCCGGGCTCTGTGGGGACCCAGGTGCCACCCGAGGTGACCCAGCAGCAGCTCCAGGCTCTGCTCCCACCAGCTGAGCCCGTGCTGGAGCTCTCCAAGGATCTGTCCCGTGCTCCCCCTGCCCCTGGCTGCCAGCATAGGCCTCATTTCCCCAGGCCTGGGCACTGATGGAGGCCTTGGCCGCTGACCCGGAGGCTGCAAACAGCACCCAGGGCAGTCATGTGGAAAACCCTCCTGCTCTGAGGATAATTGATGCCTGTTCTGACCTTCACAAGCCTCAAATTAAAATGGATTTAAAGCCTGCAAGAGGTTTGAACCTCCTTCCTTTGAGCCTCCTCAAGCCTGCTGAGAGTTTTGGCTCCAGGACTATCTCCAGGCCAGGTCCCCACCTCCATGTGCAAGGGAAGAACTTGTGCTGCCTTTTTTTTTTTTTCCTTTTTCTTTTTTTTTTAAGGTTAGGATTAAATGTGTGAGATGGTATTTTTTGTTTGGACTTAGATGCTTATTAGCTTTTATTTATATTACTTTATTATATTTATTGTTTATAGATTTATTATTATATTACTTTATTATTTATTTATATTACTTTATTTATTGATATTGTTTTATTTATATTATTTCATATATACTATACTTTATTTATTTTATTACTTTTATATATACTATTTCTATTACTTATATACATACCACATTTATATATATATATACTATATTTATAAGTTGTGAGTTTTATAGTACTTTACTAAAAAACTGAAAAAATGGAGCTGTATTTTTCTTTCTATAAGGCTTTTTAAGGATAAACTGTCTAATTAAGAAATGACACTTAAATTACTTTTATTTTTAACTTAATAACTAACTACTTGTGGTTTGTAATGTGGACTTTTTATCTAATTACACAATACACCTTAAACTTATGAAGAAGGTGAAGAACGACTAGCTACTGCTCTAAACTTCTATATTGTTTTATATACATATATTATTATTTTCTAAACCATTAAGTTTTTTAGTATGTGATATTACTTTTATTCAAACTTATAATCTCAATTTTATCATTAAATTTTGGAAGCCTTCTCCACGGCCTCAGGTCAATGCAGTGTTCTCTTGGGGCTCAGTGCCTGGCAGCACAGAAAGTCTGAAATTCTCAGTACCCAGGGCTCCAGCACCGATCTGGTGGCACTCAGCAGCTGGAGCCCGGCTTTTGGACACCCAGGGGAAGGAGAGCAGGGGGAGGAGGCTTTTCCTTTTCCTTTGGCACAGGTTACCTGGCCCGGCAGGCAGGTCCAGCCCCCAGCACTGCCTCCCGAGAGGGCACAGACTCGAATTTCTGAGCACCAGCCGAGCCCACAATGCAGACCCTGTCCCTGCTCTGCCCTGATGTCACCCGACACCTGATCCCTGAGAGGGGACAACAGGAGCTGGAAGGAACCCTGCCCACCTTAAACCCTGCCAGATCCACCCCGACCCCGGCCAGACCCACCTTCACCCCGGCCAGACCCATCCTAACCCCGGCCAGACCCATCCTAACCCCGGCCAGACCCACCCTGACCCCGGCCAGACCCACCCTGACCCCTGCCAGACCCACCCTAACCCCGGCCAGACCCATCCTAACCCCGGCCAGACCCATCCTAACCCCGGCCAGACCCACCCTGACCCCTGCCAGACCCATCTTCACCCTGGCCAGACCCACCTTCACCCCGGCCAGACCCATCCTAAGCCTGGCCAGACCCATCCCAACCCCGGCCAGACCCATCCTAACCCCGGCC